TCAGCTGCCCGTTCAGCCCTCTATGGCTGGGCTCTCTGGAGAGGTCGGGGTACCACCTCCCAGTTCACAGGTGCCCAGGTGAGTCTGAGCACCAGCCAGGGGTGGTGGGCACTATCTGGGCCTTTTCTCCCTGTTCTGCCCCTGCCGGCATTGTGGGTTACCCCCTAACCTGGACTCTCCATCCTTTCTGCCCCCACTTCTTTGGGGCATGTTTATTGTTAGATGCCTCATTCCTGAAATGCAGATGGGACCATAGCATTTTTCAGCCTAAAATCCTTCAGTGATTCTTCATTCTTAGGAAAAATAAAACTCCTATGTTTGGCATAGAAGGTCTTTATCTCCCCACTGCTACCCACTCATGCCTTCATCCATAGACTATGTACCTGTCATTTTTAACTATTTTTTCTTCTCTTCATGTCTTTGTATAAGCCAGTTCCCCACTTGCTGGAATTCTCTTTATCTCTCCTTGGTTGGCTTCAGCTTGTCCCGAGAACCAAATCGTTATCATCTCCTGTGGACATGCTCCCTGGAAGGTCGGAGTTAGACATATGGGGGCTGGGAGAGGAAGAGAAGGAAATGAATCCCTGAAGATGAGTGGAGTTGTTTCCCCCTTCTCTCAGTGTCATAACTACGCCAGGCTTGGACCCCCTTCTACCTCCCGTTGTCTTGGTCCTGATGGGTCTTTCCCTTCTGCCTAGATCCAGGGGAGGAAAGAGGATGAGGTGTGGACACATCACTTAGAAGAGTGTTTGAGTGATGGGGGGATTTGGGTTATCAGGATTTAGTGTAAGACTGGCATCTCATGTGTCCCCAGACAGCCTGAGTGCTGGGTTTACAGATAAGGTGCACAGCAGTGTGAAGCGCTGAACCCCAGGGCTGGATGCATGCTGTCTACTCCTTAAAATTCTTAGTAATAAAGGAAATGATTTGGTAGATAAAGGTCATTGCTGAAGACAGAAATGCAGGTGATGAGTCAGGGTTCACACATGTACACTGTGTCTGGATTACATGGATGTCATCAGGGAAGGGTCCACTATTAGTAAGGGACATGAGTGTGTCCTGAAAATGATGGGGTTTGGTTTTACCGGTTCCTATGAACCTGTAAAATCACCACCTAGAGCCAAATTCTGGATCCTCGGGAGCAAGAGGGTCTGTAAGGTGGCACCGTGGATGTATAAGGGGCTCTTACTCAGAGATAAAACATAGGCTTACTCGGGCTTTACACAAGGAATACAACCTGTATAAGATCACATAAGATTATAAGGTCATATAGGATTATACAGATGGTTATAGAAATAGTGATTGGACAGTCATAAAGGGTGATTAGGGGAAACGGCTATGTTCTGGAGTGAGTCCTGAATATCTGAGTACACCTCAGGTGGGCAGTCCGTTCCCCACCAGAGTTTTACCAGCCTTGCTGAGAGATTTAGGACTGTGTAGGCCAGGGGCCCTGGTTCATGTTGTCAGGAATAAGAGCCCTTCCCAGCTCCCCCCCTGGGTGCACCCAGCTGTACATGGAGGTGAGGAGCTATGGCAACTGCTCCTTATTGTGATGGAGGGCTTTTCATGTTAAGGTCACCAGCCAGCTCTTATAAGGAGCTCGGGAGAGCTGAAAGGAGCATTTGCCACAGTCATAGAGCATCACAAAGCAGTACAATCCCGAAACTCCAGTTGAGTAACTTAAAAACTAACCTTTTGCAGCTGATGAATGATTGTCCAAATCTAGATCTGTCCCTGAAGCAAGATGGTAAAATGACTGGATTTATCATGCGGAAAGCCAGTAGGCCCTGGTGTTTTCTAGCTTTTTAGCTTTTAGTATTCAATTGAGACTCATAACCTCAGAATGCCAATGATGGTTGTTACTTTTGAATAGGCTTGTTTCAATCTTGGTGTATTTATTGTTGATTTTAAAATGGGATAGACCAACTTATTTCTGCCCATCGATTTTAAGTGAAACTTGTAGAATTGAGCTGTAACTAAAAAAGTTACTGATTTAACTAGGCATTATGAATTTTCCATCCCAAATATTTAAATTATGTGTAATTATATGTAAACCTGAATTTAAAGCATCCATCCTGTTTTATCTCCTTTTTCAAAAAGCACTGCCAGTGAAAGATGTAAAAGAGAAACCTGAACAACAGATCAGGATGAGAGACTCTGAAAAATCAGCCAGCGGTCCTGACCCTCAGCAACCACCAAGTGCCTTAGCTGCCCGAGGAAGCAGGAGAGCCATCAAGAGCCCTCAGAGGTCATCCACTAAGATAAAAGAACAGAAGCACCCGTTTGCCCTCTACGGGTGGGGAGAGAAACAGACGGACACAGGAAGCCAGAAAACTCACAACGTCTGCGCCTCTGCCCCCGTGCGGGAGGTAGGTGCCGGTGAACGGGCTTCTCTGCTTTCCCCTGGGGGTGGGGTTGGCCTGGCTGGCACTGGCTATCATATCTGTGGTTGCTGTGATGTTGTGGGACATGGTAGGTCTCAGGTGGGCCAAGGAAAGCCCAGGACTGGGCATCTGATTGCAAACAGGATGCAGGATGTTAGCTACCTAGAGACCGGAGTTTTGCTGGGAGTTAACTGGTAGCCGGAAGGTTTTACTGACACCGAGCCAGATGGAGAAGGGGCAGGACGCGGGGCTCTCAAGTTCCTGGGGCCCAGGAGGTAGAGCCGAGGGGCGTAGCCTGGGCTGGCAGCTGCCCGTCTAGATTTGCGTCTGGCCTGAGAGGCTCCTGCTCTGTTGGACTTGATAACTGGCATCTCGCGCCTCAGCCCCTTTCTTGGTGTCTATCAGATCGCATCTGCTATGGTTATGCACGTCTGTCTAGACTCCTGTTTTCTCTTTGGATTAAATTAGAGTGATTGCATGTCCCCTGCTCATCCCTCCCCCAAGGTTTAGTCTCCTTGGACTCAGGCCTGGCATGTCCCCGTGCAAAGACCTGAGAACAAGGCAGACAAGGGCCCCTCACCTGTGGGGTCACAGAGCAATGACTGTGTTAGTGCCAACAGCATCCACCAGCCCAAAGCAAAGAGGGCCTGAAGAGAAGCAGAGATGCAGGCTGTTTGAACTCTCATTACATGCCACAGTCCAAGTCTTACTGAACAGACTTCTCAACTCTAGCAGATGGTGGTGTTTGGAGTTATCTCAAATAACTCTGAGGACAACAGAGTTGTCCTCTGGCAATCCCATGGAGTTAAGTTGAATGAGGTTCATTAAACATCTTAGGTGGTAAAATCTTGAAATTTGATAGTATTTTGCTGTAAAATATATAAGTTCCTTCAATGGAATACTTATTCTTACTTAATGCTAAGGAGTTCCAATCCTTTTCCAGAGACAGTTTCTCAAGGCACGTGCAGATTAGTTGCTTACCATTTAAACTGAAATTTAGTCTGGTGGACATTTTCTGTTGCCGAGTTTCTTTACTGCTGACAATGGGTAAGACAGAACTCAGGGGAATGGCTCCTCTGGAGAAACTTTTCTTCTCAGAAGTACTGAATATGGTGAGACTGATTTGCCTCTGCCCTGCTCCAGGTGACCTGGAGGAAGCTTCATTGTGAATACTTTGGAAAATTAGTGCCAAAGCTACTGTTCATTCATTCTGACTCCCCTTAGATCCATGAATCTGCACTGCGAGCCAAGAGCAGAAGGCAGGTGGAGAAGAGGCGGCTGGCGGCTCAGAGGCAGCGAGCTCACTCTGCTGATGTGGAGAAAAATAGGCGGGTCAAGCCTGCCTCCTCAGAGAACCCATGGATGACAGAGTATATGAGATGCTACTCCGCCAGAGCTTGAGGGAAGGAACAGTTGCTTGGACAACCTCTTTCTAAAAGTGTAAATGAAAGAAAAGAACAAAACAAAAACTACCAAAAGAAACTGGACACAGGTTTAAGAAACCAACTGATTATGCAAGGTTTTTCTTGGGGAATTTCCGAAAGATTGTCTCTTTTGATGAATCCTGGTCACCCGCCTCAGGAGTAGGGTGACAACTGAAGCCATAGACATTCGGTTATTTATGAGGAGAATTCCCTAAATCTTTGATATTCTTATAAGGGTTTTGTTTTAAAGCATCTTAATCTTTTAAGATCCTGACACCACATGCCTTTAAATGGCTGACAGATGCTTAGCTTCAGTTTCTAGGCTCAGGTTAGGTGAAGCCNGAGGTAATTTAAAATTGCCTTTCATGTTGAAAAGTTTGAAACTGAGAATCCAGTGATATTTAAAATATAGATTGAAATAACTGCTGCATAAGAGTCTCTTTTTAAAATTTTAGTTTTTAAGTTCTTAATTAAAACAACTTGTTGTAACATATTTCCTGTGTTTACTAAAAGCAATAATAGAATATTAAGTAACACCGGAATACTTCTGCTGGACTGAGGTGAATGCGACTAGGAATCTGTCCTTTTTCTTCCTTTTAAAACCTAAAAGACTGCTCTATTTATGAGGTGTCAAAATGCTTGTACTCCCCCACTGCCAGAAAATTCCCAAGTACCTATATACATTTTAAAGTCTACTAAAAGTAAAATAGGGTATAGTTTATCTGAATTGCTTATAATGTAGTAAGCACACATTGTGGTGCTTCTTATGAAATAGCTTTGTCATTGATTCATCAGATGTAGATTACTAGTAATTTGAAAGCTTTGAACACTTTGATGAGCAAGTACTAACATTTCCGCTGATAAAGTTTATGTCCAGCATAGCCTCAGCACCCAAAAGCCCCCTTTCTGTTGTGCATTTTAGCTGTCTGAGTTTGCATGACCCAGCTAAAATGCACAACACAAAGGTGGCTTTTGAGTGCTGAGGCTGTGCTGAACATAAACTTTATCAGCGGAAATGTTAGTACTTGCTCATCAAAGTGTTCAAATGTATTACTGGCAAAGAGGAAGAGGGGCCAAGCATATGTTAGAAGTGAAAACAACTGTCTTGTTGACTGCTTCAGTGAAAAATAGCTTAGTGGGCAGTTTTACATTTCACTGGACTAGATAAAAAATGGTGCTAATATTTATACAGTCTGATTCTGTAGTTGGTTTGGGATCAAACTGCCAAAGCCTGACTCATGGGTCCTTACCATAGTCTTGTGATCAGTTAACTAGCATTTAAAAAGTGATCCTAAAAGTGTGACCATGTATAATATTTGAAATGGATTTTGTGCAGTAGGCTGAATAGGGAGCTGTCCACTTAGTAGCAAATTCTGTGAGAGGAGCCATGTCCAGGGCTGAGGCCCAGGCTTCCTCCCAGCCTGGAAAGCCGCTCCTTCATTATTCATTTCCATTTTGAAAGTCAGGACACCTGCGCGATACACTAGAGGCCTCCTTTTGGATTTCTGTATAATTAGCAGAACTGTTTTTAAGAGCTGTCCCCTGTGTTGCTGGGTATGTATTTTGAGCACTGCACTCACTTTAACATTCTGAAGGTACTAAGTAAGGCTGGGCACCCACAGTCACAGCGCTCAGGCGGTGGGAACTCGCATCTGTGTTTTCTAAGAACTGTGTTGCTTTTAGCTTGTATTTAATATTGCAGTTACTTGGAAAAATGTGAATAAAGTTCATTAATGCTACAGGCTAAGCTTCTGTTTTGTGGGCAGTAATTCTGATGAGTACATTAATGGTTGAAGAGAATTCAATGATTATATTGACTCCTAAATGTATTTTTCATTAGATAAATATTCAGTAAGGTATATTTAGTTAGGTGTATTACATCCAGGAAAAGATACTTTGTGTGTATACACTTTGAATTAAACTCCACATTTTTCCTAGTCTTTCCCTCATACATTATTGCTTTGAAAATTACAAAAGGGATACGGCATGGACAAAAGTAACTTAAAAGAGATTTGTTGTTTAGTTGCATTCAACTCTTTGAACCCATGCACTGTAGCCCACCAGGCTCCTCTGTCCATATGATTTCCCAAGCAAGAATACTGGAGTGGGTTTCCATTTCCTTCTCTAGGGACCTTCCTGACCCAGGGATCAAACCCAAGTCTCCTACACTGGCAGCAGATTCTTTACCTCTGATCCACCAGAGAAGCCCTAACTCAAAGAGAAGTATAGAGTAAAAAGTCAAAGTTCCTTTCAACACTACCCCCTCACCAATATTCTACGTCCCTTCTTAGAGGAAACCAGACCTTTTTTCCAGGCACTTGGAGGTACATATACACTGTTTGTTTGTTTTTTTTTTTCACAAATATGGAATAATGCTATAAATATTCTGTAACTCCCCAGCTTCCCCTCACCTGCTCTCCTTGTTCACACTGTCCCCCGATCCTAATTAGCCAGCCGAGCACCTTTGAGAGTGGGCCGCTGGGCAGACCCCTCCTCGGGTCTCAGACGGACCACAAAGTTCTGTACGTGTGAGGCAGGTCCGAAGAGCACTGCAAAAGCTCTGAAGGCTGAACCAGCACTGGAAGCAGCACCCCAGGACTTGGGGCCTGAGCTTAAACAGATTGATTACCTGATAAAACAAAAATGCCAGCATTCTCCATAGGACTTGGTTGTGTTTCATCATGTAATACTCAAACTCCCTATGAGGCACTCCAAATTACTCAGCATATGAAACCATGAAAACAGCTGTCATGGAAAAAGGCAGTCAGTAGCTGCCATCATAGACTTGAAGGAAGCTATTATTGAAAAGTGCAAATGAACAATCACACTCTTGAAATAAGTATTAAAATAGAAATTATCAGTAGAGAAATAGATAATAGGAAAACCAAGTGACAATATTAGAACTGAAAAATGCTCCAACTGAATTTTAAAAAATCTTGCTGGACAGACGCAACAGCAGGTTGAAGATGACAAAGATAATAGATCAATACAAATCATCCAATCTGAACAACAGAAGAGGGCTGAAGAAAAGTTTCCAGGTTGTGTTATAGGACTCATAGAAAGATAAGAGAAAGAGTGTAGTGCTTTAAAATCATCTGCAGAAATGATGGCTAAAATCCTTCCAGGTGAGCTGAGTGAAGCTGAAACAGCATAAACCCAAGAAATCCAAGCCCAGATACATCATAAAAACTGTCGAAAACTAACAGACATCTTGAAAGCAGCCAGGGAAAAGTGAGAGATGACCTACAGGGGAACAATTCATATGCCCATGCATTTTTTTCATCAGAAACTATGGAGGCCAGAAATAAGTGGCACATTTCTCAAAGTGCTGAAAGAAAAGAACTGTCAACTTAGAATTCTGTATCCAGTGAAATATCCCTCAGGAATGAGGGTGAAATGAAGACATTCTCAGATGCAGGAAAACTTAAAGAGAATTGATAGCCAGAAGACCTGCTTTAAAGAAACAGCCAAAGGATGTATTCAGACAGGAGAGAAGTGATACCAAAGGAAGCTGGGAGCATGGGGAATGAAAACAGCAGTTCTAGAATTTGGTCGTTTGTTCTCGGTCAAGGAAAGAGCTCCAGAGCCAGAAAGGTGGAAGGCGTGCCTTGTCATTCATATGCCCCCTTTTCAACACACATTTTGAAGTGACTTTTGGCCAGCCCTAAGAATGCTGTCTGGTTGCCAGGGAAACTGACTGGGAGGAAAGGGTTGGACTTTGACTCCAGGGAGGAGAGAGGGGCTGGAGATTGAGTCAGTCACCCATGGCCAATGACTTAATCACTCACACCTATATGCTGAAGCTTCTGTAAAATCCAGAAGCCCAGGGTTCTTGGAGTTTTCTGGTCTGTGAACAGGTGGAGATGTGAGAACCGTGCCCAGAGGAAACTGCACCCTTTCCCCTACCACGCCCCTACATGGCTTCCATCTCGGTGTTCTTGAGTTACATCCTCTACAATAAAGCAGTAATCAAGTAAGTTGTTTTTCTGACTTTCGTGAGCTGCTCTAGCAAATTAGTTGAACCCAAGGAGGGGGTCCTGGGAACCTCCAGTTTACAGGTGGTTGCTCAGAAGCACGAGTGACAGCCTGGACCTGTGGCTGGCATCTGAAGTTGGGATGGGGGCAGGCTCAAGTGGCTGAGCCCTTAACTCGTGGGACCTGCCACTCTCTCCAAGTACATTGTCAGAATTGAGCTGAACTGAAGGACACTCAGCTGAGGCTGAAAAGCTGCTTGATATGTGGGAAGCCTCTTCTCACCTGGGGTCAGAGTTGGCAGAGGCAGAAGACAGCTACAGTGGGGGAGACAGCAGCGGGCTCTCACTCAGACCCTAACTGGAGAGCTTCCCAAGAGACGAGCACCTGTGCCGCAGTGAGAGTGTGAGCTGTGCCTGTCCCTAGAATCTGGCAGGCTTGTGGGAAGCATGGCAGACAGCGTCGCTACAAGCTGACGGGATGCAGGATGGGCTGGGGCTCTCTGCACACACGGGGAGAGCGGCACTGTCACAGGAGACGCGGTGGCTCCGTGGGCGGGTTTACTCCTCCTCCTCTGTCCTCCTAGTGTGGTCCCATAAACTGGTCTTCCAGTAAAAGGGAAAAAGTAAATAGTTTTCAAAAAATGCATGCCAATCATCTTATAAAGTTCTAAGGTTCTTACAGCCTGGACTCAGGGCCTTTGATATATCGAATACTCCATACATCACAGGAGCCATTTAAATCACTCTCTTTAATATGGATTATACAACAAAATAAAAATTATTAGTCTATTTAAAAAATACAAAGCAAATTTTCCTGAGGCAAAATATTATGAAGGAACACACCTGACCTCTGAAAGGAGAACTAGACAAATTTACAATTATAGTTAAAGACCTATCAGTAATAGAACTAGTAGACAAAAAATTAGTAAAGCTGTTAGAAGGGCTAGACAATACCATTAACCAACTCACTCTGACATTTATAGAACACTCTACCCAAAAAAAGAAGAACAAAAAATTTTCACATGCACATGGAACATTCATCAAGACAAGTCCATATCCTGGTTATTAAAATAATCTTACATTAAAAATCATACAACTCATGTTTCTG